ACTACAAGGTACGTCATGGAAATCGAACAGTGCATAGAGCTTAACAGTTTTGCACATGAACAACAGTAAGAGCCTTGAAATGACATGTGTCATGAAAAGAACCAGGTCAAGGCTATAATGCTGACAGCAAATAAACAAAAAACAACTACTGAGAACGAACAGATAACAAGCGCTTAAAGAGTCGAGAGTTTAATTAAACAGCCGTCTATACCAGCCTAATCATATTAATTACTTGCATCACAGTAGGTAAAGGGTCGTCTAGCTCATGAGGCTGTGGAGATGGGGGCGTCCTGCACAACTTTCGAATGAGATAACTGACCTCTTTGTCTTTGGTTGTTCAGTACCGACGATTACTTACATCGGCCCACAGGTTTTCGCTGGTTTACAACGAAAGGATTTCCGTATTCTGCACGAGGCGTGGTGCATACTTCGAGCATCAGTAACCTGACTCTGGAAGAAATAGCTGAACGGATTACTTAGTCTATAGTCTGTGCAGTGTGGTGACTTGGCAAGTCGATACTGACGACGAAGAGCCTAATAATACACGTGGAACGATGAGTTACTTTTCGTTCGGACTCCAGAAGCGATGTCACCACCACCATTCTGGCGCGTCCTGAGGTTGATCACAAGCGAATATTGCCCTTATTCTCCAGGCCGCTAAGAAACGGAATGAAGCAGAAACTCACAAAGGTTGCCATCTTAATATCTCTTGTTTTGTACCCTTCTCATTTTAAGTCATGAATTACATTTCACGTTAATATTGCTCTGTGAAGAAAGCAAACTTTTAACTTAAACAAATAAACTTTTATTTTGCATGTTGACCTTGTGAGCGACTTATGACGCCTTTCTGATCCTAATGAGAAGAAATGAGAAGCTAAACATGAAAAGAAAGGCGACAAGAAGCAGCAGTGAAACGATGACCATGTGAGAACGGCTATGACCCGCTTGGGTTCGTATTACCTACCCAACTGAATTGTCGATGAATTTAAAGGATTCGAGTTACAGCAACGCCTTACCACTTCTTGCACTTTCAGAAGCCATGTGCTCGGCCTGGTCGAAGAGCACGCTGGATGAGTCAGTGGTCCGGCTAGCAGCGATGAAGACGCTGTCGCCGGCGGAAGCGTCGTCTGACACTGCGATGCACTGGTATATGCCACCGGGCAAGTCAGATGCCAAAGTTATAGTCCATCGTGAGTTCTGGCCTAGAAAATCACC